TCAAGTGCTGCAAAAAATGATGAGGACTGTGAAAAGACTATTAGATTTAGTAATCAAGAATTGGCCACTTTGGAAAAAGCGGTTGCTTTTGAATGATGTGAGAAGCCAGAACAAAGAGTTCAGGAGAGTCAGGAAGTGGAAACACATGGTAGACGTGATTTTCTCGAGGAGTTATACCACTAAGGGGAGGGGAGCTATAGGGAGGACACTAGCTATTGAGGATGACCGGATCAAGAGAGGATTTGGTTTTTGGTTCCTTCATAGCATTTTGTTTTTTTCCAATTACATGTAAAAACAATTTTCAACGTTCATTTTTGTAAAATTTTGAGTTCCAAATTTTTCTCCCTCTCTCCCTTCCCTCTCCACACCCCAAGACAGCAATTTTGATATAGGTTATACATGTACGATCATGTTAAGCATATTTCCACATTAGTCACGTTGTGAAAGAAGAATCAGGGAAAAGGGAAAAACCATGAGAAAGAAAAAAAAGTGAAAATAGTATGTTTCGATCTGCATTCAGACTCCATAGTTCTTTCTCTGAATGCCGTTCACATTTTCTGTCATGAGTCTTTTGGAATTGTCTTGGATCATTGTAGTGCTGTGAAGAGCTAAGTCTATCATAGTTAATCATTACACACTATTGCTGTTGCTGTGTACGATGTTCTACTTGTTCTGTTCGCTTTATTCAGCATCAGTTCATTCTCAGTTTTTCCAGGCTTTTCTGAAATCTGACTGCTCATTATTTCTTATGGCACAATAGTATTCTACCACAATCATATGCCACAGCTTGTTCAGCCATTCCCCGATTGATGGGCGTCCCCTCAATTTCCAATTCTTTGCCACCACAAAAAGAGTTGCTATAAGTATTTTTGTACATGTGAGTCTTTTTCCCTTTTTTATGATTTCTTTGGGATACAGACCTAGTAGTGGTATTGCTGGGTCAAAGGGTATGCACAGTTTGATTGCCCTTTGGGCATAGCCCCAAATTGCTCTCCAGAATGGTTGGATCAGTTCACAACTCCACCAACAATCCATTAGTGTTCCAATTTCCCCACAACCCCTCCAACATTTGTTATTTTCCTTTTCTGTCATATTAGCCAATCTGAGAGGGGTGAGGTGGTACCTAGTTGTTTTAATTTGCATTTCTCTAATCAATAGAGATTTAAAGCATTTTTTCATATAACTATAGATAGCTTTAATTTCTTCCTCTGAAAACTGCCTATTCATATCCTTTGACCATGTGTCAATTGGAAAATGACTTGTATTCTTACAAATTTGACTCAGTTCTCTATGTATTTTAGAAATGAGGCCTTTATCAGAAACACCAGCTGTAAAAATTGTTTCCCAGTTTTCTGCTTTCCTTGTAATCCTAGTTGCATAGATTTTGTTTGTGAAAAAACTTTTAAATTTAACGTAATCAAAATTATCTATTTTGCATTTCATAATGTTCTCTGCCTCTTGTTTGGTTATAAATTTTTCCCTTCTCCATAGATCTGACAGGTAAACTATTCCTTGCTCTCCTAATTTGCTTATGGTATCATCCCTTATTTCTAAATCATGTATCCATTTCAACCTTATCTTGTAATAGGGTGTGAGATGTTGATCTATGTTTAGTTTCTGCCTTACTATTTTCCAGTTTTCCCAGCAGTTTTTTGTCAAATAGTCAATTCTTATCCAACAAGCTGGAATCTTTGGGCTTATCAAACAGTAGATTACTATGGTCATTTACTACTATGTCTTGTGTACCTAACCCATTCCACTGATCCACTACTCTATTTCTTAGCCAGTACCAAATACTTTTGATGATTGCCACTTTATAATATAGTTTTAATATATGGTATGGCTAGGCCACCTTACTTTGCATTTTTTTTTATTAATTCCCTTGATATTCTTGGCCTTTTGTTCTTGCAAATGAATTTTATTTTCTAGCTCTATAAAATAATTTTTTGTAGTTTAATTGGTATAGCACTGAATAATTAATTTAGATAGAATTGTCATTTTTATTATATTAGCTCAGCCTACCCATAAGCAACTGATATTTTTCCAATTGTTTAGATCTGACTTTATTTGTGTGAAAAGTGTTTTGTAATTGTGTTCATATAGTTCCTGGGTTTGTCTCGGCAGATAGACTCCCAAATAGTTTATATTGTCTACAGTTATTTTAAATGGAATTTCTCTATCTTTTGCTGTTGGGCCTTGTTGGTAAATATATAGAATTGCTGATATTTATGTGGGTTTATTTTATATCCTGCAACTTTGCTAAAGTTGTTGTTTCAAGTAGTTTTTTAGTTAATTCTCTAGGATTAAGTATACCATCATATCATCTGCAAAGAAAGAGTTTTGTTTTCTCATTGCCTATCCTGATTCCTTCAATTTTTTTTCTTCTCTTATTGCTAATGCTAATATTTCCAGTACAATATTGAATAACAGTGGTGATAATGGGCATCTCAAGGAAGGATTTTTAGGATGGGGGAGATACGTACATGTCTGGAGGCAGCAGTGGAGCAATCAGAGGACAGAGAGATTGAAGATTAGTGAGAGAGTGGGGATGGTTAAAGGACAGAACAGAACCCATTAAAATGAATAAGATGAATAGGGGTAAATTTAAAGTCTTACACTTGGGTTTAATAAATCAACTTGAGGGGCAGCTAGGTGGTGCAGTGGATGGAGCACCAGCCCTGGAGTCAGGAGAACCTGAGTTCAAATCCAACACATAACACTCACTAGCTGTGTGACTCTGGGCAAGTCACTTAACCCCAATTGCTTCAAAAAAAAAAAAAAGAAAAGAAAAAGAAATCAACTTGACAAGTAGAGGATATGGGAAGCAGGGTTAGACAGCAGTTTATCTGAAAAGGTTCCAGGGACTTTACTGGACCGCTAGCTCAATAATTCACTACTATGATGAGCAGTCAAAAAAACTAATTTATTCCAGGAATAAGAGAATAGTAATCCTGATGTATTCTGCCTCGGTCAGATTGCTTTCAACTTTGGGTGTCTACAGTTTAAGGAAACTGGTAAGCTGAAAAGCAACCGGAGTAGAAAAACCAGGACAGTTGTCTTAAGTATTTGAAGTCCATGCCTTTTGGGGATTGAAGGAATTGGGAATATTTACCCTGGAGAACAGAAGGCTTTGCTGGATCCTTCTCCAGATCATAGCCTGTGTCCTGGGCCCCTCTGTTCCTCTACCTCTATACTATTTCACTTGGTGATCTCATCAGCTCCCATGGATTTAATTACCATCTCTATGATGATGAATCCACCTTTTCTGCCCCAATCTCTCTGCTGATCTCCAATCTCACTTCTCCAACTGCCTTTCAGACAACTCAAACTAGATGTCCTGTAGACATCTCAAACATGCCCCAAACTGAACTCATCTTTTCCCCAAAACCTTTTTCTCTACGACCTCCCCCTTCCCCTATTACTGTAGAGAGCAACACCATCCTCCTAGACCCCCAGGCTCATGACCTAGTGATCATCCTGAATCCTCATTACCTCTCACCCCTCACATCCAATATGTTGCCAAGATCTGTTGATTTCACCTTTGCTACATTTCTGGAAAGGGCCCCTTTCTCTCCTCTGACACTGTACCACTCTACTGTAGACCCTCATCACCTCATGCCTAGACTATTGCAGTAGCCTGGGTCTGCGTGCCTCAAGTCTCTCCCCACTCCAATCCATCCTCCATTCAGCCACTAAAGTAGTTTTTCTTTCCTTTTTTTTTTTCTTTTGGCTTTTGGTGAGGCAATCAGGGTTAAGTGACTTGCCCAGGGTCACATAGCTAGATAAAGTAGCTTTTCTAAAGCACACATCTAAAGCACACCCCACCCCAACTTCCCCAATAAACTCCACTGGCTTCCAAGTGCCTCCAAGATAAAATACAAAACGCTCTATTTGGCATTTACAGACCTTCATAACCTAGCCCCCTCCTATCTTTCTAGTCTTCTTACACCTTACTCCCCCAACATGACTCTGATCCAGGGACATTGGCCTCCTGGCTGTTCCACAAACAAAACACTTCATCTCTCAGTACTATAACATTTTCTCTGGCTACCCCCAATCCCTGAAATGTCCTCCCTTCTCTACACCTACTGACTTCCCTGTTTAGTCATTTCCAGTCATGTCTGACTCTTTGTGACCCCGTTGGGGGTTTTCTTTTCAATTTTTTTTTCATTTGGGGTTTTCTTGGCAAAGATGCTGGAGTGGTTTGCCATCTCCTTCTCCAGCTCATTTTGCAGATGAGAAAACTGAAGCAAACAGGGTTAAGTGACTTGCCTAGGGTCACACAGCTAGTATGTGTCTGAGGCTAGATTTTTTTTTTAAAGTGAGGCAATTGGGGGTAAGTGACTTGCCCAAAGTCACACAGCTAGTGAGTTTTTATGCTAGATTTGAACTCAGGAAGAGGAGTCTTCCTGACTCCAGGCCTGGTACTCTATCCACTGTGCCACCTAGCTTCATGTTGTCTCTCCTCCGTTAGACTGTAAACTCCTTGAGGACAGAGACTATCTTTCGCCTCTTCTTGTATCTGCAGTATGTACCACAGTGCCTGGCTCGTAGTAGTTGCTTAATCAACGTTGACTCAGACGGCTATCTTTAAATATCTGAAAGGATGTCACATAGAAATTGGATTAGAATTGCTCCACTTGATCCCAGTTGGCAAAGCTAGGAGCAAGGAGTTGCAAAGAGGCAAGTTCAGGCTCGATGCAGGAAAATGCCTGAACTGGACCTGCACAGAAAAAGAGTAGGCACTTGGGGAACAAAGGTTGTCCCTCCCTATAAGTCTTAAAAACAAAGGTTCATTCACTACTTGTAGGGTATATACACGGGGACTCTGAGGCGTGGGTTGGACTAGAGACTCCTAAAGTCCATCCCCTCACGTAAATGTGACAGAGGAGTAAGCTCAGGTGGAAAAAAGGAATGGGAGAGGAAAGCAGCAACAGAAAAGGAGGCTCCAGGGAACCGAGGTAACTGACAGCTCCTCAATCTGATCATTTGCCTTACAGGATGGAACTGATCCAAGATGTCTCCCGGCCACCCCTGGTGTCTGTGAAGGGTATTCCACTCATCAAGTACTTTGCTGAATGTATTGAACGGCTGAAGGATCTTCAGGTCTGGCCCGATGATGTCCTCATCAGCACCTACCCCAAATCTGGTGAGTGAACCCCACCTGGCCCAATGCCAGTGACCCTCCAGAGCCACAGTTTCCTGCCCCCTCCCTTCTCAGCTCTCGTACCAGTTGGGTACCATTCACGACCCAGTGTCTTTAGCCCTCCAGTACCTGTCACCTCTCTACAATTCAGAGGTCTGCTCCCTTCCTTCTGATATAGCCAAGAACTTCTCCTATTCCCTCTCATTTCACAATCTCATTGCAGGAACAACCTGGGTGAGCGAGATCTTAGATATGATCTACCAGGGGGGTGACCAGGAGAAATGCCAGCGGGGCCCAATCTACACCCGGGTGCCATTTCTTGAATTCAAGGCCCCAGGAATCCTCTCAGGTAACTAAGCCACTAGTGGGGTGGAAGGCAGGAAGGCTAAAGAAGCAAAAAAAAAATTAAGGAGTGGGAACTTAAGGAAGCTGAAGAGACAGAAGATGTACTAGAGGAGGTAAGGAGGTGGAAAAGAGGCAAGACAAATGGGATGAAGCCTACTGCTTGTACTGTTGGTTGAGTCAAGAAAGATTTTGAGAAATAAATGTTCCCACCTGCCTGTGCCAACTCCACCCATTCTCTGCCTTAGGCATGGAGACTCTAAAGCAAATACCTGCACCTCGACTAATCAAGACCCACCTGCCTCTGTTACTGCTCCCCCAGGCTCTGCTGGATCGGAAGGTCAAGGTAAATGGGTGAAGGTGCAAAGCACAATGAGGGAAGCAGGGAGCTCCCAATCATGCCAGAGTCTCAGGGATGGAAGGAGGGAAGTGGGGGCTGAAGAGAATTCTACACACCAACCAGAGACACTTCTTCCAAGCAGTTTTTGGGTTATTTCATTTTGTTTGGGGGGGGGGGGGAAAGGATTTGATTACTGACCTGTTTAGTGTAAGAACACTCGGGACCAAGAGGGAATGCTAGAAAAAACAAATCCCTACTCCTGATCAGGCCATGTGAGACCTTCTTTTCCCTACTCCAGATCATCTATATGGCAAGAAATGCCAAGGATGTGGCAGTCTCCTATTTCAACTTCTATAAGATGGCAAAGGTACACCCTGATCCTGGGGCCTGGGAGGACTTCCTGGAGAAATTTATGACTGGGCAAGGTAAGGTGGGATTCAGTGGGGAGTCAGACTGAGGGTGCTTAAAAGGACAGTGTGGACAAAGGAGCAGAATGGGGCCAGGTTTTAGTTTTTCTTCTTCCTCTAATCAGTTTGCTACGGTTCCTGGTACCAGCACGTACAGGAATGGTGGGAGTTGAGGAAGCGTCAGCCAGTTCTCTACCTCTTCTATGAAGACATGAAGAAGGCAAGACTTTCCCCACCTAAGTAATATCTTCCATTCCCCGCTAACGTCTCTAGGAAGATTTCTTACCAGGAAATTCTGAGCCTACACTCTCCTATCCTTGTCGCCACACCTTTACAAACTATCAAATTGCAGGTATTGAGAGGTTAGTCTGGGCACAAGAAGAGAATCTTTTATACACCACTTCTCACATTGCCATGACCCATTTCCACGGAAAACCCAAGGTTTCCATCTTAGGTCTTCATCCAGTAATTCCATTCCAATCATTGTCAACCCCTGCCTTCTCCAAAACAGTCTAACCAAAGGTCAGGGAGCTAGTATAGCTCAAATCTAGAACAGACTAATGTTGAAACTGGCTTGCTAAACACTGATATTAGCCAGTGCAGATTACTAAGGTGGATGATCCCAATGCTCTAGTCCTTTGTCAGAATTAGGTCGTGAAATATATTTCGTGTGTGTCAATGCTCTTGGGCAGCCTGGTGCAGCCCATAGACTTCCCAGAATATTTTTAAATAACTGAAGGAAATGCTTGATTTCAGTTAGAGGTTGGTGGAAATAAAGATTAATTTTTTTCCTCATCCAAGTTCATGGGGCCCCTGAATTATATCCATGGATTCTTTGAGTGTCTGTAGACCTCAGGTTAGAAACCATGCTAAAGATTAGGAATGAAGGATAAAAGATCAATGCTCTGAGTAGTCTGATTCTAGTCATACTCTGGTCACACTCTAACATTACAGGTGAGACGGTGTGGTGGAGAAGAGAGAGAAGTACCTTTGAGTCAGGGAACTGGGCTCAAACCCCACCTCTGATGCTTACTACCTGTGTGTTATTGGGCAAGTCACTTACTTTCCTTATCCTCAGTTTCCCAATCTGTAAAATGAAGGGAAAGTTTGACCATGCCTCTGAGGTCCTTTCCAGCTCTAGTCACAATCCTATGATCCCACCTGGGTTCTTCAACACTCCCCCCTCCCCACCCCCAAATTCTTTTGCAACTGTCACCATTCTCCAGAATCCCAAGAGGGAAATTCAGAAGATCACAGAATTTGTGGGACGGCCACTGCCAGAGGATATCATAGACCGAATTGTCCAACAGACATCTTTCAAGAAGATGCAGGAGAACCCCATGACCAACTATACCACTGCCCCCACAGAAGTCATGGACCACTCAATTTCTCCCTTCATGAGGAAGGGTAAGCTCTATGAAAGGAAGGGGCCAATGTATTGTAATCAAATAGAAGCTAGGGTTCCAAGAGATGCCTGCATTCTTGGGATACTGTTAGCAGACGGTGATTATAATGTGATTATGAGAATAGAGAGTGGGAGGGCCAGAGAGAAGATTCTAGAGCCAAGCAGCTTGGGAAAGAGCAGTGGAAACCCACATCTATCACTCCCTGTCAAGTTAGACATATGCAAAGTGTAACAAAGAAGAAAGTAGCTTTCACTCATGGTATGGGCGCTCTCTCTTAGGTATTACTGGAGACTGGAAGAACACCTTCACTGTAGCCCAGAATGAGAGGTTTGATGCTGACTATGAAAAGAAGATGGCTGACTCAGACCTTCACTTTCATACTGACCTCTGAATGGCAACAGGAAGAGAGGATCACCAACCCATACCTCTGTATCAGCCCCCAATTTTTCCAGTCTTCTATTAATCTTTTTCAGCATGCAAAATTAGCACACCTATATTCTAACAGGAAAAAATCTAACTCACTCTCAGTGTTACAAAGAGTTTATTCTGCTTACCTATTGTAAACATGGTCTCAGTCTAAAAAAATAAAATGATTTACACCCTAATTCATGAATCACCCTTAGAACCAAAGGATAGCACACACAGCTCCCAGTTCTCACTTGGGGAGGGGACTGAAGTCTGAGGAAATTAGGCCCTGGAAACAGATGATGTGTGGGACAGGGCTGTAAATTTATTTGTCTGCAGAGAATGATACATTAATTCCCCCTCTTCAAAGGGCACAGCAGAAAAGTCAAGTGAACAAAGACAAGGTAATAGAAGTCCATGATTCAGCCAAGCCGAACCTCACTTCTTCTTGGGTTCCTTGCAGGCCACAACATACCTCTGGGCCACATTGAGGGGAGGAGAGTAGCCATCTGCATAGGAGGTATCTTCAAACAGGACAGAGTAGTCTTCCTGGGGCTAAAGACAAGGAAACAGAGTTAAGAAGAATCAGAAAGCCCAAGGCTGATAGTGACCACCAAGTGGTCATTATATACTTCTATCTGCCTGCTGCCCCAACTTGGGTACTGGGGAAGCTAGCACATCCTGAGACCTTTCCCAGAAAACTCAAGAGCCATCTTCTATCATTTGACATTCCTCATAATCAAGAAAGTCCTATCTAGTCTCTATCCCCATTAGAACATCTGTTGCTCAAAGACAGAGAGGGTTTAGCCTGTCTTTGTTCCCCCAGATTTTAGCAGCGTCTGGCACACTTGTTGCAGTCCCCTGTTTCAATTTCATTTTGTTTTGTCTTCAGGGAAAATGGACAATAATGGAAGGAAAGGTGTCTGCAACAGGAGCAGGAGAAAAGGCTTCACACTGTACTAGTCAGCTCACACCTAGAGTAGTCTGTTCAGGCCTGAGAACTATAACTTCACTCAGCTACATGTCCATTCAGAAGAGGGCGACCAAGATGGAGAGAGGGTCTAAAAGCTAAGCAATGCGAGTAAGGATTGGAGGAGCTAGCAACGTGTTTAAGCTGTAGAAGAGAAGACTAAGGAGAGGGGGATGAGGATGAAGAGGGAAGACATGATAACTGTCTTCAAGTATCTAAAAGCCCAATATTTTGGGCGAGAAAGTACATTCGTTCCACATGGTTCCAGTAGGCAGAACTAAGACTGATATATGAGTTTCAAGGACACAGATTTGGGCTTAATATATAGAAGAACTTTATTACAATTAGAGCTTTTAAATGATGGAATAGACTGTCTAGCTAGCAAAATAAAAGCTCACTTGTCACTAGAATTTTATTTAATTCAACAAACATTTTGAAAGGCACTATGCTAAATGCTGGGAAAAAAATAAGAGCTGTTATTTAACAGAACTTTAAGGTCTGCAAAACACTTTATTTGCATTGTTTCATTTGACCCTCCAACAATTCTGTGCAATTGGTACTGTATGTATTATCCTCATTTTACAGATGAGGAAACTGAGGCTCAGATAAAGAGGCTTTGCCCAGCTTCACAGAGTTCCACAAGTCTCAAGGCCTTCCCTGTAACCAATTCCAGCACACTTTCTAAACATGTCCAAGCACAAGACAGGTAATCATTTATCAGGGATGCTGACACAAAGGGATTCCTGCACTGGGTAGGATAATGAACTAAAGGACCACCCTCCAAGGTCCCTTCCAACTCAGATTCTATAAGAATGATCTATAAAAATGATCGAGAAGGCATGGTGACTCCATCAATTCGGTCAAGACAAAATAAAAAGTCCAACACATGAAGGTTCTCCCCATTCTTGTATCCTTTCAGAAATCTTAAACTTGGGAACCAACCAGTACAACCTCTTACACTTACAACTGAAGAATTCTCAGCCTCAGGTCATCATTCCTTACCCGCTGTGGGGGAGTGTGAATCAAAGCCCGGTAGAAGCAGGTGGTTTGGGGGTACAATGCCAGAACGAGCTGATCCTTCTGGAATAAAGCTTCAGGGTCTGTCTCAGGATTGGCCTTCCATTGTGGTAGTGGGATGATACGTCTTCGGCTCAAGGTGTGTCTCCTGGTAGGGGAAAGACTGTAAGCACGACCCTCTGCCCTGAAAATCCACAAGAACTATTTCCCAGGAAGCATTTTCTCTACTCTCATTCTTCCAGGACCCACATTCATTGCTTTTTGCCTTCATCCCATACCCCCCTTCTCCTCTCCTCTGTAGTCACCCCTTCAGTAGGATACTTACTCTTTGCCTTCCTCATCAATATCATCCACCTCATATCTACAGGGGGAAAAAAAAGAATAAATCTCTGATTTAGTTATTCTCCAGAAGACAACACAGGATGACAATGAAATAATAGGTAGAAAAGTCTGTGAGTTGAGGAGGCTAATACTAAATAAGAGAAACTCAAAAAGTAAGAGAAAGGAAACAAAAATTCTAGAAGACAAAACATTCTTTACTTACTTGTTGGTGGCATGACTATAACTGACCACTTCTGCCAGAATCCACTGCTCATCTCCATCCACAGCTTTTACTCGAGCAGCCACCTTATCACCTGGTTTGGCTACATAGTCTCCTGAAGCTGGAATGGCCCCACACAGGGGTGGAGGCCTATGGGGTGGAAAAGCCTTGTTACAGTAGATCCCTGCCTCAGAAGCACTTCTCCCTGACTACAATACTCCAGGATCCCCCACAGATCTACTTTGGAGATCTCCAACTGAACCCACATCTCTGTATCTTTAAAGTACTCCTTTAAGGAGACCTCCACTCTCATTCTCAATCTCCTGAATTCTCTAAGACTCCAAACCACCACTGTCTAGTCAAATCCTGCCTCACTTCCTTTCCCCAGGGCCCCTACACTTACTTGTCCCCAGGTTTCCCAATCCACAGAGGCAATGTCATGGCTGACTGTTGCAACAAAGTCATCAGCACCCCTCGGCGCATGGTTTTCCGTGGAGGTTCTGAATCATTGTACAATCCTGCGATTTTAGCCGCTGTTGGGGTGGAGAAAAGAAGAAGTGAAGTCCTCCCATACTAAATGGCAAGAAATATTATGGTCCTCTCTCCTTCCTACCCTCCTCTGCCAGATTTTATCCACAAGACTGTTTAATTAAGTTTAATTTCTTCTCTAGTCTGAGCCACTGGCCCCTAATCCCAAACTCTTGCATACTCCCAATAGAAAAAACAGTGGGAATGGGAAGAGGATATTCCTTTGGTATTCCAGCTCCACCCCCCCCCCAATTCTAACAGAGAGAGATCTGTCCTTTTCTGTTTCCATTCCCTCAAGTCCAGGATCCTGCATGCTTCTTCTGTGCCTATCCCATAGCCCAATGCCTGACACACAACAAGCATTTAAAAAATGCTTGATTGACTGAAAACTAAAGAAACTATTAAATAGAAGCTCCAGGGACCCATTAGAAGGCTGAAAACAATTCAAAATACGAAGAACTATTTTTACTAAATATATGAACATGTGACTGCATAAGAACAAGAAGACCAATAGGAAATCCAGCCCATGGCATCTCTTCAGATCACCTTCATAAGAAGCATCACTGAGGGGACACAAACTGGAAGACTGGTTCAACACTGATTTTAACCCTGCAGGACTTGTTTAAAATATGTCTACAGGACAGCCCTGATAGGGTAATGCTTGCTAAAGCTTTTATTTGTATACCAATAACCACACAAAACGGGGATAAGAGCTCTAGTTGCCTCCAGAAAAATGTGGTAAGCGGAGTGTGACGAATGTGCAGCAAGCAGTAAATAGATACCAGAAAACCTGAGAAAAGTACTGTACTCAATCAACCTCCCACCGAAAGTGAAAATCACAGCAACCCTCCCTCAAAGGAGAGGGTACCCAGGGTGGAACAGGAGCAGGCAAACACAGCCCTATCCTCCCGTGTGCCTCTTTCCCCATTGCACAGAACAAGATCCCTCTGACTCACCAATGCGCCTTTCTTCCAACAGAGTCTTGATCTCAGCAATCTTATCCAGAGCTCTGCGAAGTATACTGAAGAAGGGAAACAGAGAAGTAAAAACAAACTTATGGGGGGCAGGTAGCTGGAACTGGGGGAGGGGTTCCAGAGCCCCTGGAAGGAGCTGCCACCACACCAGGCAATTAACTTGTGAAGGGCATTTGGGGAAAGAAACATGTCTGAGGTTTTCTTATACCTTTCTCGCCCCAACAGAGGCCAAAATATCTTCTTTTCAGGTTACCACCAGCTACTCGTGAAATGTGTTAGCCTTTCTAGACATTCAGAAATCACTACTTGCCACCTGGCCTCGAGGCACACAATCAAACTCACAATTTACAAATCAGGAATTTCCAAGAGGACTTTCACAATACCTAGTGTCCTTCCAGAAGGGCTACAATGCATTTTTTTTCTGTCTACAAAAACTGTCAATTCTATTCTAAGACAATCTGAAAGTTAAAAATGTTATCACCGATCTCTTTTAAGATCATGAATTCTTTATTTTCTATAATTTGTCTCATTCACTCATTAGTAGTGCAAGTATATTAGAAATAGGATGCATATTTTATGCACTGACTGTTTAGGACAGGATCTTTACTGAAATTATGAGCTTCAGATTATAAATCCAATAGTACTTAGCCACTTAAAATTTTTTTAAAGTTACAAAACTACTTTCAACCTAAATCTTCCCAACTTTAAATGAAAGCAATAATTCATAGGATTCATAAATCTAGATCTGGAAGGGATATTCCTCCTTCCTTCCTGAGATACCTCAGAGAAGATAGCTAATTTAATCCCACCAACAATTTACAGATTAAGACGCTAATGCCCACATTTATACAGTGCTTTACAATACACTTTCCTTACAACAACCCTTATGGTTGACTGTAGTAGGGGTATTTATTCTTTCGCTGATTAAAAAAAAGAAAAACAAAACACTCAGACAGGATAAATGACTTATCCAAATCACAAAGTTCAGGAAGTAACATAGGATTTAAACCCATATCTCCCAACTTTAAATTTTATACTCTTTTTTTCCCCCCAAGTAACAAGTATTTTATTAATTGGTCCTTCCAGGAACCAACCCATCTGTTACATTAAGAACATCTTTTAAAAATGAAAAACAAATACCTTAGTACCTAAGTAGTCTGCAAAACAAAT